AGTAAGCAGCATTTGGAGGAGAGTCAAAAAGGCCTTTACTTGGGGGGGACATGGGAGGAAGGGCTTGGAAGTGCTTTTTTACCAATGATGGGACCTGGGAACTCAGAAGAAATAAGGTTCTCCTTCAAAAGTTGTTGCAGTATGTCTGGATTCTTGGTGGGAATTACTACCCAAAAAAAGCCTTATGAGTAAGGAGTACTGCCAGATGAAAGCAAATTATCTTCACCACCAATACCTTTGATCCAAAAAAAAGGAACCAGCTTCAGCTTCAAAAAGCTTTCCTTTAAGAATTAGTGTTCCCATCTGCAGTGGGACAAAATTTCTATAATTATGTAGAATGTGACTATAAATCTGAGCAGAAATCAGACCAATGGCTCAGACTGTTCTTCCAGTTGTCTCACTACTAGTTGGGCAATGTTTTGCAAGGACCTGTTTTAGAATACTGACGAGGACAATGGCTTTGACACAAGACTGATGTCTTCTGAACGTGGAGACTACTTCACCTAAGTGTTAGGACTTCTACCTCACTAGGAGTCCTGAGTGCCAGCTCTTTTTTAGAGCAAAAGGGAAAGAAGATCACTAGGATGACTCTTTCTTTTTAAGTCTTCTTGGCTAGTATTAAGTTGTAAACTTGAGGAAAAAAAAACCAAAACCTATTTGCATATAGAAAGCACCTTGAAGAAAAAATTGTAAAAGCTCATTCTAAGTCACATTCATATAAACCTACAAAGTTAATCCTCCTCAGACTACCTTGTCAGTTCAACACAGGTCTTTTTACAGATGGACATGGAGGGTTTCATAAGAAATGAAAATTTAAAATTCATGTTAGAAAGAAAGAAAATGTTTTGTTCAAGCTAGCAATCTACCTCTTTATGGATGTGTGACAGCCTGAGAATAACTTTCATGCCCCAATCTAGCAGTTGTGGAAGTACATCCAGCAGGTCAAATAGCCCTGCAATTTGCAACTGGCAGAGATGAACAAGAGCCTGTAACTTCTCTTTCATCAGTTCTGCCTCAAACTCAAACAAATCACTATTTAAAAAAAGTGGATCAGGAGCCGATTTTGACTGCATTCTTCGGAACAGGGAAATTGCAGACTGATTACACAGAGGAGCCCATATCAAATGCAAATAAAAAGGATCCCCACATCTTCAGATGTGACCTCAACTAAGCAACTTTTCTGGGTCTGAGTCCCCACTCTCTGACATTGCTTGCTGTAGGGGTGTAACATAATGGTAGTGTAACAAGGGTTTTAAAGTTTCTCGAACTTCTGAATTAATAATCCATACTCTACTTAGAAGTGGTTTCAGGATACCCATTGCCACAAGTGACCAACAGCTTGGTTTCATAAGTGTAATTTTTATTATGCTAACTGAAGGCTCAGACTTCTGAGATGAGCAAAATGAGTAATTTTATTACTACTCTTCATTAATATTGTGTCATCAGAGCATAAAAAAAGGAAACTGCTTATCCAGAATGTCAGAAGGCAACGAGACAATCATTTCACCCTTAAAAATTACACTCCATCTCATTCAGGCATGCTGGAAAAGTTCGCCCACTCTCAATTCTTTTCCTAAAACCTAGTATCTTGTAGCAGTAAATATAATTTGGGAGAGAATGTGGATCAGTAGTTCCACAGTCTTTAGGATTTTTGTGGCACATGATAACTTCTAAGGCAAGATGTTGTCTGAAATAGTCTTTGAGAAAGAAAACTTTTATGGGGTTTTTAATTGGTTCTAAATCTACTCTCTCTTTCTGACATAAAAAATTGAATGTATTTAACATCATACAGTTTGGGAGCAGGAGGAAAAATCTGCATCAAGTCAAGTTTTGGAATCATTAATGAGTTTGTTCTGTGTCTGGAAAATGAAAGAGAACAGTGTGAACCACAAATCTCAGCTGCATGTGAGGCAAGCAGCTAATTTCAGCAGTGGAGACTGTCACAGGTAGAGCTGTAGCAATTTAGAGCACAACTCAGAGCACAACTCAAGAGCACAACTCAAGAGCACAACTCAAATGCCTTCCCAGTACTTTCCTTCACAGTTCAAAATCTACCACCAAACAGTACATCTCCTGCACAGCAATCACTATGCTTCCTGAACCTATACAAGCAGCTGCACTCATCTATTCCATGTGTGCAAGCATCACTGTTGCATACACAATCACACTAATTGTGTGCTTAAGAAACATAGCAAACACTGATTCTGCAATTAACATCTCAAAATGTAAATTGTAGGAAGAAAACACAAATGTCTAAGCTAGCATGTTTGCTTGCTTGCTGGCTTTCTCCCACTTACCCTGGTGTTCTTCCACTTCCATTGTTGCTTCCTTGCACTTACAAGCAGTAGCCGTACCTAAACCACAAGGCACAGAAGCTCCCCATGCAATTTAGCTCCCATTTGTGCTCTCTTAGCCCAAAGGTATATTATTATCCTACCAGCCCTGGGTGATTATTATATCTCAGCATACCCTGGCTTCCTCCAAAAGCCAATGGGGAAGGCTGGGCTAGGAAGGATCTATGGTCCAGTCAGCTGGAATAACCAGAGAGGCAGAATTGTGGTGTGCACCAGAGAGCGCCTCTACCCTGCAGGTCACCTTCTCAGGTTCCTGCTCTTTTTCTTGTCTAAATCCCAAACAATGCATCTCCATCCTCAACAGATTCAGCATTCTTTTGGAAGTTTGGTGTTGATTCTAAATTCCCCTAGCCTGTAATGAGTCTTTGATGTTTTTAATGTCTCCTTGTAACATTATTGCAGTTACTCGAATAATGGAACATAAACAATTCCAGATATGAAAATAATGTGAGTACAAAAATATCCTTGAGATTTTGAACAGAACAGAGCTCGATAATCAAAGCAACAGCGGATTCCATCCTTTGAAGGATTGCTTTCAGACACAGAAAATGACTCAACATGCGGAAGATTAGTTAACTGTTCTGCAGAAGTACACCCCAACATCCAGTTTAGTGACGAAGGCGGATGGGGACAGTACTAATTCAGTGCGTCACAAATAGCTCAGATGTATCCAAAAAAGTTCTAAGCAGGATTTTTAATTTCTGGTTGTTTAAAATATTATTTCTATCTGACATTAAGCACTAAACCAAAATGTTTTCACACTGAACAGAAGCAGGAGCACTTCAATCGGCCCAAAGGCACTCAGAAGATATCCAAATAGATAAAGGGCTAACTTCACAAAACTGCTGCAGGAGGTGTACACCTGGGGCCAAGGGACTAGATTCAATTCTTTTTGCTTGAAGTGAACTGAACCTACATATTCCACCTTCCAAGATAATGCACTAACCACTGATACAAGGTAGCAAGGAGGAATCACCAAATCTCCCCAACTGGTGTCATTCTGTTTTGTATAACTAATTAAAATTAAAATTCATTAGCATGCTGAGTCCCAGCTAACAAAGCCTTTCCATAGGGTGTATCATTCCAATTGCTCTTTTTGTCCCAGGTTCAATGAATATTTTAAGTGAGAACAAAACCAACAACAGTGACAAAGGGAGACCCATTCCTTACCTCTCTTACCAAGAGATGGTGGGCCTGGAGTAAGTCTCCTGCCCCAGATCAAGCAATGAGTATATTTGAACACAGACCTTTCACCTTTTCAGTGAGCAGCCAAGCAACAAAATATATGTTCTGGACTACTTTTCTCCGAACTGTTCATAAAATCACCCAAAGAATCCCCACATCTGTCAGTCAGCCTCCAATCTCTTCCAGACCAACATCACAACATTTACAAGAGACTTTAATGGGGATTTTTGTATCCAATTGGGAAATACTGAGGAAAAAAAAAAAAAACAACAGCATTCAAATGCTTCTAAAATTGTTCCAAAAATAAAAGTCAGATGTGTACTAAATTGCTGTCATCTGTCTCTTATAAGAACTGCATAGCAGTACTGAGGCACTCACAGGGAGCAGCTGTATTGGAGTTAACAGGCTGAGTAAAGAAGGGAGGAGAAGCAAATAGAGCCTGGGAAAGAACATGATGTAATCTCAGGAAGAAAAGCTTCAGAAAAAAGTCACCAGAGAAGGTAAGAAGAGGAAGTGTTGGAGCAGAAAAAGCCACTGCTTCAAAAGAAAACAAAGGTGAGATTGGCCATGTGCTAGCAGCAGCCCAGGAATTTACTGATAGAGAAGGAAATGCCTCCCCTTTATTCAATACAGGAAGAAAGAAGGAGGTAGCTCCTGATTTTTGGAACGTTAACTCCTCTGTTTATCTACACAATGATACCATTGATCTTTCTCCACAAAAGCACATATTCATGTAGCTATACAAGATTTCTGAGTATGAACTACAACACTTTCTTAATGCAAAAAAGCCTGAAAATACAATAGCTTTTCCATGTCCATGTATATCTATATCGCACAGCTTTCATTCTACATGTATTCTTGCTAGTAGTACCAAAGATAAAATTAAGATAAAATTACGTTGGGTTGTTTTTTTAAATCCTTGGAAGAAGGTTAAGATGCATTCAAAGATAGGAACACTTCTACTAGTACCAGTTGTGCTACATCCCCTCTTTGACTATACAACTTTGAATGGACACACATAAAATATTTCACAAAAACAGGTATCGTAATGCACATTATATATTTTAAGGAAACATGTTTGACCAAGGATAATGTAGTAACCAGATGTTGTAGACACTAAGGAAATGAAGGCCAAAAAAAATTGCAGATAGGAATTCATTGGGAACAGATATTTCCAGGAGCATAATACAGGTGAAATAGGGATCTATACTGTTGGCAACAAAGGAAAAATTTATATAGGTCAAATCTGAAAGAACATTGGTCAAATGCACGCTACGACCTATTCCTGTACAAATACTATTCTGAGATGGTCAGATAACCCTGCAAAGTTAAAGCTTATTTTCAAGTTGTCATAAGTTTTGTTTAACTCATGCACTATTCAGCAACTATGCATATAAAACTGACACTCATAGAGTTAAAAAGAAAGAACAAAGGCAAGCATAACTGGGGCTTGGTACTCACCTCCTTCTCCTGACCCAGAGCCGTTATCTAAAAAATAGAGGGAGAGAAAAAAAGAAAGCAAATGAAAATATTGCTCCAGGAGCAGCAGTTTGCTCAGGAACTTGTCACTGTAAAAACATTACACAGGTGTTACATTTCATGAGCCAGGTGTGAAAACAAACATCCGACATCAAGTCTGGCATCCTTTAATACAGCTTGTTCATGCTTATCGTGCCCTACTCTCGGTCTTCCCTGTCAAGATATTTTTACACAAGGAACAACACCATTCAGTACTGAAAACTAAATTGCTTTCTTAGCCTTTTTTCAACTGTTAGAGATTAAAATTTGTTAAACTCAAAAGAGATGAAAGGTACAGAGTGTGTTTTTTTTTAATATTTGGGGGCTTTACCCCCTGGCCCTGAGAGTTACACAAAGGAGCAATAAATAAATCACCTGACTGCAGAAGTACATCCAGAAGAGTAGTCCTCAAAGTAAAGTTAGCTTAAGTCATATAACGACAAAATAGCTCCTCTCAGCTGAGTCAATCACTTCATATAAGGATGCTCTAACAGCATAGTTATGTCATTGACATTAGATTGACTGGATTAGCATCTGATGAGTGACAGCTTGTGGCTGCATCCCCTTTGCATTAGCAGTTCAAGCATCAACAGGACTTTTGCTTCCTCACCACCCTAGGCCAACTAACTCCAACTCAGAGCATTACAGAGCTGGCTAGGGATTTTGCACAGGGATGTGCATCCCACTGGGCAGAGCTCTGCATGTGTCTTCAGTTAGCATGGCAGTAAAAACCAGCCCTTAAAAATGTTCTGAGTCACAAAACTCTCCCATCCTTTCTTGCTCAAAGGAGTTGGAGAGGACGAGATGGCAACTACTGTTAGTGAATTGTTCCCCATCGCTGTTAGCTCAGCTTCTCTGAAAGATGAGAAGAGGAGCAAAGCACACACCTGCTCATCCCACACCTCTCCTTTTATGTCTGCTTTGGTGATGGAGAAGGCAGCTGAAGTTATTTCCATAAATTTGAAAGAAGAAGGAGACCAGACAGAAAGTGGAGTCTTCCTTCGACATATGAGCTCATTGCTCACACTGGAGGAAAAACCAAACCCCTTGTTTGCTCACTTCCCTCCCTGCCTTTTCTTTAAGGAGCTATATTTCTAAGAATAATTCCTTTTAGGGTATGGATGGAAGTGTGAAATTCCATGTTACTGGGTCACTTCACACATTAAAAAATAGTCTCCTGTCACATGGAGTACCAGGAATAGAGAGGTTTTTTTCCTCTGCTTAAATTTTCCTTTCTTTCCTCCTATACTACTGTTCTGTGTCTAATAGACTGAGCTTATCACCTTAGAGAAATGAATGCGAAAACAGAAGGGCTCTTGTTCCATCTATAGTGACCCACTTTACTGACAAAGCAGACAATCTCCGATAAAATGTCACTGTTGAGTCACTGAGGAATATGCCATCTGATGCGGTACTGCTTCATTAAGAAATTTGAAAGAGTAAAATTTACTTATATGAGCTAAGTATATAGGCTTATTTGTAGTGATGGAATTGTGTCATAAGCTGTTCTGGGGGAGAGTAGGCTGACCTACAAACATGCACCACTTCGGCATGTAATTCATAGTAAAAACAAAGGCTAAAATGTCTCAAAGAAGCTTGACCTGTTCCGTGCTTTTATTTCCAGTTCTCACTCTGCTTTCCCTTGTGCATTCAACCCCAAGGTGAGAAATGCCGCTCAGCTCCAGCATGAGGGGCTCCAGTTATACCGTGAGGTGTGTATGTGTGCATATATGAGGTTCAAGGGAGGTTCCATCACAAACAGTACAAGCTGTAACGAGACAGCCAAGTAAATGATGGAAGTGATGCTCAGACCACCTGTTCCTATGGGTCATTGGTGTGATATAGTCCACAGGCAACTCTGTCTCCACTTGGCAGAATGTCACAATAACAGAATAGAACCATTTACGTTTCTCTGAGCTTTCAGGCCTCAAGAAACCATAAGGAAGAGTGTGACCCTCTGTAACACTGAATCATTTTCAACTTTTCACTAGGAGCCTGTGCCTCCCCTCCGAGGCTAGGATCTATGCTAGGACTCTTGTCTCCAAGGTAACTGTTCTAAACTAAGCTGGTGTTCCTGATTTTTCCTAAGCCTTGGCTAGGTTTTCCCAAGCAGCTGCTGGTTAAAAAAGTAGCATTTTTGCAAGCTTACTCGGAGAAGCAGCCTTGCTCTTTTTCAGCCCTTCACCAATTCAGGATTTCCAAAAGTGGTCTCCGTGCACCCAGAGCTGGCAAGAAGATGCTCAAACAAGTGGGGAAGCTGGACAGGGATAACATCACCCCAGCCAGAGGTCAGTAATTAGAGAGTGGATGGCTGACCTCTCTCTTTATTTAAACCACCCTTTTCCAAATAGGCTTATAAAAATAAGCTTATACACAAATGTACAGGCCTCTGCTGCGAGCTGCTTTTATTCATGAGGGAGTTTCTGGATAAAATGGGTAAAGAAGCACTTGGATCAGACACTGCACCTGAATGCTGTAAGCACTAGGCTACAGACAGAATCATTTTTTTTTCCCAGTTCTTTCTTAACAGGAGATATTTCTGCACTGTGGGGCTGCTCCGGTGCCTAGGCAGAAGGCACACTCTCCAAAACCAAAAGAGTCTCATTCAAGAGGGATGGCTTTTAACTCAAACTAGCATGAAAACTGAACCCATCTTTCCCCCCCAAAACACCCAGCTCCAAGCTGCTAAGTAGAAACAGGAGGACAAACAGCCCAGTGACAAATTTTAAGCAAGCAGACCATTCCATGAGCCACTCCTAAGAGAATAATTCCTTAAATCTAATGGAGATACCGTGTTTGTTTCTAGTTCTGCAAAGAGCTTGCTTTTTTGTTTTTACTTTATAAATCCCAGCAGAAAGCAATGAACTGTGCCTTCCAAATATATAGACTATACTGAGAAGCTAAAAATACAATATATCAAATACTACATCATTGTGTGGTTACATTTTCATGTGCATATAATATAAACCTGGCAGCAGTCAAAGTTGTAGCTCTGTGTGCGGGCTAACAGGAACACATATTCTTAGAAATTAGTTGTAAAGGTCTATTTCTTATTTATTAAATCAGTTTAATTTTCTTTAAACTAATAAAAGATGGTAAGTTCACCAACAAATGGAGGCAGAAGAAATCAAGGAACTTGGTAACACTCCTCTTCAATGCTCTGAGCACCCTGCCTGAACTCTCTTCCTGGTTTCTTAAATCTGTTTAGCAAGCCTGTTCAGGATAACTTCTGGTAGAGAATAGTATAACATGAACAAATTTCAGTGTAACATCACCCCTTGTGAACCAACCAAGTCATCAGATCATCAGTAAGACCAATGATGCTATGAGTTTGGCATCTCATTGCCAAATGAGATGTATTGCCATCTCCCCCTACCCTGCTGCATGTCCTTTCTCTGCATTTGGTTGTGGGCTGAACTGCAAACAGGGAACTGAGAAGGGTAAGAAATAAAAAAGAAAAAGGCTGGAACAGTGCTTTGATCTTGTTCACAACATAATCCTACAAAGCAAGGAGGAGAAGCTGTAAAAGGTAGGAAGTACTGTAAGCAAGGACTTCGCTTTGCAGACCTCCTTGTCTCCATCTGGTCATGGACTGGATGATTCCTTTGTGAATACAAAAGGTCAGGTTAGCTGTAGACCAAAATTGTGTGTAGTTTGAATTGTATGTAGATTTCTTTATGCAGTTTCTCTAACGCTGCATTTTACTAATTTTCCATGTTTCTTTGTACATTGCAACATGGGGCTACATGCATAGTCTAAAACCCACAGACCCTCATCACCCATAACTTGTGCCAGGTAAAATTAGGCATAGTAACACGTCTGTAAATGCTGATATTTGATAAAAGAACCCCACAATGTCCCTTCATTGAAAAATGGGCTTTGACAATGTTAAGTTTGGTATGCAGTCCTGAAAATTTCAGCCATACATTCTCTTACAGTTCTCCAAAACACCATTTTTAATGTCAAAATTTGCATTTTGTTCATTCCTAAAGCACCTGTAGTTGAGCCTTTTTTTAACTTTGCCTATTTTAGGGTCTTGCAACTCTGACAGCACTTGGACAAAAGAAATGAATATATAAATACGGTGCTCAATCACCCATGAGCGTAAAAATTTAATCAAAATATTACCTGCCAAGAAATAGGTCTGACTAAATCAATAGAGTCTGTTCCAGGGTTGCTGCTTCAGAAGGCATCAACCTCCAGCAAATGGGAAGTGTTTCACTCTTGTATGCGATTCAGAAGTCTGATGTGCTTCAAATATTACATAGTTGTTACAACACTGTGGGGGAATTTCATCCTATTGTCTCAGAGTGAGACACCACCAGGATGAAGCTTTGCTTTGAAAAACTGAAACTCTGATAGGAAACCAGCAAATCTGTATTTAGCTCCCAATGAGGTCACAGAACAAGGCATTTTCATAGCAAATTTGGAAGTGCTCAGTGAAAATGAATGAGAGCCTTAAGGGATTTTTTAATTTTGGCATTTGATTCTCCATTATACGTGTAGCAGATCAAGGGTACAAATGCTTTGACTCTTCAATGAACCATGACCCTAGGAGGGGCAGGAAGAGCTTCCAGGTGACAAGTTTTATCATCCGATATTCTTAGGCTAAACAGAGAGCACTAGACGCACAGGGAACAGCAGGTACTGTTCTGATACAGCTCTGCTGAACCACCTTAAATTGCATCAGTGCAAATGCAGTTTTCAGGCTGAATCACACCCTCAGTTTCAAAAACATGTTTTCAGTGCTTGCTGGTCAGCTGTGTCTCAGCATGTCTACAACTATTACACTAAGTGCTAAAAATTGTGCTGTTTCCTGGGTTTATGTAGGACTTAAAGAAAAGGAGAGGAAGGTTAAAAAAGAAATCCCAGACTAGCTGAGTAACCTAGGAATTAGCTGCCAGCAACCTGAGGCTGAGAAGAATTGTTTTTTCATTTCAAAAAGTCTTTTTCTTAGTAGGGTGGAATGCATGCAAAAAAATAACACTTTTTTGTTGTTCCCCAAACATTATCCCAGTATTTTATTTAAGTGAGGAAAAGGAACTTCTGAGCTGTGAGTCTGTTTCTTAAAATACTTTCAGCATGAAATTAAAAAAGAAAACAACAAACACATACTCTCAGTTCAAACCTTCATACCCCTTGGCTATTGTTCCAGGAATATGTGAGTGCTCCAAGACTGCGATGCATTTTTGTCCTGTTTCTGCAGCATCTAGAGATAACTTACAGGTGTGAGATTGGGAAAGATTCAGTCATCCGCCTTAGGTATGCTGGAATTATGTGGTTGAGCTGGGCACAAAATACAGGTTTCACTCAGTATTAGGACCAACAGTATTAGGATTGTTTTGGAGCTTAGTAAACAACTCCTAATCTCAGCATAGGTCTGTGCTGCAGTCAAAGGCATTAGAGCAGCAAGCTTAAAAGAGCCATGTAGCATTTAAATGAGGTAGCTCTGAGACTGGCAGCAGCAAGGACTTGGCCTAGGTACACTGCCCATATACTTACCCTCATTTCCATGTAGGATGTTGCAGCTATTGGTGAGCTCCAGGCTCCTACTTCTAAATCATCAGCAATATCTAGACTAGCCAACATAAAGGCAGCTAGCAGTGTACACCTGACCCATGGTCATGCTTTTGGCTGCCATATAGATGTAACCTTGCCTATGTTAATCCAAGTAACTATTGTGTATCAAAAGATGAGGGATTTCCCACAATTTATTTTTTGTGTGTGTTATTTATGTACCAAAGAATGCAATTGTTGATGCTATTGAGTCATTTAATTCTGAGAAAGCTAGCCGTGTGTCTCGTCTTGCCAGCTTTGAATCTGTCCAGAAGTCCAGAAGACATCTGGTGGCTAACGTTCCTGTGTCCAAGTGCATGTTGCAATATTCGAAACAGTGAAAACTTCTCCCATGTATTTTAAGTGTGTGGAAAATCTGTGTTTTAAGTGTGTGGAAAGACAGAAAATGCCAGTCCATTAGAAATAAGAGGTACAATGAATTTGTAACAGTTACGCATCCTTTCAGAGTAATGACCTAAAGTGAAATTAGTCAAAGATGGTGCCTTGGATACAGGTCGAGTGGCAGCCAGGACTGTCAGTGCCACTTGCTGATTGTCACACTAATTCTCTATGTCCAAAAAATGAGTCCTAAAAAAATGACTAATTTGGAGTCTGCTCCAAATTTGTAAGCCTTTTGATGAATATCAAGGCTCCTCTATACATACAACAGAAGCATTCACTAACTATTTTCTCAGATAAAGTATTTCTACTTTTACTATTTGTTTATTAACCTGTTAGCATATCAGAAGATATATCAGATTTCTTCTCTATAGAAACATTCCACTGCTAAAGAGGATTGCTAAAAGGAAAGAAAAAGAGGAACATTTCCACAATATTTCATTCTATGAAAAGCGTGAACATTAAAATCTCTGGAATTAAGGGCAAAACTAAAGAGCTAACCATATAACTTTGTTCATTAGTGACACAAAGTGATGTTTTACATACCAGAATAACAAGGTCCTCTTGATACCACTGTTATCTCTTTCTGATGCTTGCAAGCAGCTCTCCTGAGGAAGCACTGATTTTGGTAAGTGTCTCCATTTGATCCACAAACAGGAATATAGTTTGTGTGACACTGAAAAAGAAAGTATAAAGTAACTAAGTCATAAAAAATCATGAGGTTAATCTCAACTGCATATTAACATACAGGAAGATAGTTGTGTAAATATGAATTATTAGCAGCAACTTATAACCCTGTTCACTAAAGAAAGACTTGAAATATATTAGTTTCTCAATATTATTGTATTCCTTTCGGATCACTGAAATAATAGTCCAACTCCATAAGGGCTGAACATAAGAATTCGGTAGAAAAGATTAAAAGAACAAAATAACTATGGTGGGACTTGGTACTGTCTAGAGGGAATATGACAGGCATCTAGAAGTATTTGAAGGATAAACACTGAGGACAGACAAAATTTCTTCAAGATAATACAAGAATGTATGACTGGGTACAAGGGACTGAAACTGAGCAAAGGAAAATTTAAGGTGAACAGTGCTTAAGGGGAGATTTGCTGATCTTTTTGGCCACGGAATGATCTTTCAAGAGAGATAGAAATTAATCACCATCCCCATTAACTTAATGAGTGTCATGAGTCTGTTTTACTTGGTCAACAATTATAATTATGCTTTTGTATTACTATACTGAAAAAATCAAGCTCAAAGTCAGTAGCACTGGTGCACTTTGTAAGAAGAAAGGAAGAAGAGAATATTTATCATTCAAAATGGCTTTGGTAGGAGCAGCCTGTATTTTGCTATTTTCTTGCATTCTAAGAAAGATGGATTATATACCTCTTGTACATATAATGTGCATTAAAATGCTAGGAAACACAGTGAGACCACTAATCTGCCTAACGCCTGCAAGTGCTGCAACACTCCCTACTGAGCTGGAATTCCAAACCCCACTTCACTGCACAGAAAAAGAGACATTGCCCTGTTTGGGTCTGCAATGGTAACTGTAATTCCAGACATCTTTTCCATCTTCAAAGCCCCAAGGCAACAGGAAGCAATGAGCAAACATACAGACTAGCCACCAAATTTCTTAATCATACAAAGTGTATGATTAAACTGGTACAATTCAACCAGTGAGAGTTCACACAGGAACAGCAACATTAGTTAAGTTAAACTGCCCCCAAAAGGGCACGAGTTTCTTCTCCAAATTCTAAATGACAGTCTCTGCCACAACAGTTTCTTTATGCTTTGGCATACACAAACCTCAAAATACTCAATCTTTAAAACATAATTTTGAAGGGAATTATCCTCCCTCCTTTGTCATCCTGCTATAGATGACCAACTGACAATGAACTAAGTATGCATGGACAGAAATAAGTCATGCTGCCAGGTCTGAATATTATTTCTAACAGCGTTGTAATACTTTCCCATAGTAAGTAGCTCTCAAACATCCAACCACAGCCATCAGTCCTGTCACATCTCATTCTGAACAGTCACTTCAAGGGAATAATTAAACAGGCAACTCTTGAGGGGTACTGTACTTTTTGATACATAATTCTTTATTCAATCTTAAAGTTGCTGTGTGATGCTTTATAATTTCAGGTTTCTGTCCTGAAGATAGAAAATGAGAGGCAAAGTGATTTTTTTTTTACAGTTTGATAAGCCTTTAGCAATTTGGTACAGGACAGCCAAAAGTACCCATGCAAACATCCTTTAGGAGTAGAGTTGTTTTCTTCTGAGGAAATCCTCTAATAGCTTGAATGACCAAGAGGAAAAGAATCTCTTCATGGATGGGATCTGCTTTCCATAGTGTACCATGGGAAAATCCATCCAAGCTCCTTCATTGCAGGATGCCCAGCATCTGAAGAGATGTAAGGTTTACTCACTATGTTCCTTTTTCTATCCTGTCTTATTAAAGCAGTTATCTTATTAACCCATTTGCTGTTGAGCCTTTTTTATTGAGATCAAAAGAGCCCCATGACAGCTCTTTCTCACCTCACCTTCACCCACCAGCCCATAACACACTCACTAGGTGTTGATCAGTTTTAATTTAGGTTTTAATTGAACATCATTCAAAATATAGCAAAAGATCTTTCCAAAAGCTTGGTAAATGTGTGTTACCCCCCACCTCCTAGTCAGGCCTCCTGTCTAGGCCTGAAGGAAGTCAGGATGCCATCAAGGTCACTGCAAGCAGAGCATAACTGAACCCTTCAGCACTTCTCCTGCCATCTAATGTGTAAATCTGATTCTGGGGAGCCAAACTTTGGTATCTGACTTTATGACTTGGCAAGAGAAAGCCTACACGGTGTTCAGAAAGGTTGAGGCCTGCAGAGCTCTTGCTGACACAACATTATAGCTGTTCCAATGATAACACTGAAATTTGGCAGCCACTCATCTCCAAGGGGGATCCTAGGAGGGAAAACTAACACTCATTAATTTTAGAAGACCAAACAGTGGAGAAATGATGCCAGGCCAGAAGTGGGAGCAGATAAGGATGAAGAAGAAGGAGAGGAGGTGCCTGGAAAGAGGATGGAATCGATACGCATTTTTGTGAGGAATAGGAAACACACTTCAGGGAGAGCAGGCTGATATCCCCACCTCTTCCTTTCATCACATGTTCAGATGAACCACTGTACACAAATGTGTCTGATTCCTTTCCAAAGCATTGTAATGTCAGAAAAATAAATAGCTAGCTATCAGATAGTCTCACACACAGAGAACCTAACAGTTTGGACTGGGTGTTTCTTGCCTGGGACATTTTGGTGCTGCTAGTTGCAGACAAATAATTGAGGTTGAGAGGTATAGGAAGAATTTAACCTGCAATTTCTGAAAAATACAATACCTTCTCCTCATCCTTAGACTTTCCTAAGAGTATTGGATAAATTTTCCAAGAAATACAAATAAACTCATATGCAGCCTAAAAATAAATGGTTTTAAAAATGGGCTCTTCGAGACAAAGTATCGGCTTATCACATGGGTTAGTTCTTTCTGAATTTTCATGACCTCAATATTAGGAAGTTGTATAATTTACCACCTGCAGAAAATAAATAAATGAAACCTTTGCTTAGCCTAGGGTTTCGTTTCTATTTCTTGTTTTTTTAATCATTACTGTATTTTAGTCTCATCATCTTTCATGAATAAAAATTACAGAGAGGGGTGATGGATAAATCTCTTGCATGAACGTTTTCTCCCTTTAAAAGGCAGTCAGATCTCATTGTTCTGGGATCTAAGCTGCAGAATGCCCCAGCGTAGGTACCCACCTGAACAACACAACATCAAAAGCCAGCTCTGAAACACTGGAACCCAAAACCAGTGTAAGATCACATATGCACTGTTGCTATTCTGGTTCCCCTTGATTTATTATTTATTGGAAACAGAACACACGATTATTTTTAAAACACTGAACGATAGCCCACGCCAGGGTTGGCTGATAACACTGCCACCTCTTCCAGTTTTACCAACAGTCTCGTAATACTTGACACATTTGTCCTGACTATACATTGTAAACAGAAAGAACCTCAAAGAAGAAAGTATTCTCTTTTCTGTAAAAAGTCAGGGGCGGGTGGAGAGGAAGGATTGCCATGACCGTCATAAAAACTGTAAACTGGAGGCTCAGAAACCAGCAAAGCAAACTGAGCTTGCTATTTACCACGTTTTAAAAGTTATGGGGATGTTTTTATCAAATTTCTGCACTTTTTTATATTCCTGAGTGGGACTAAATCACTGTTTTCATTCATAAACCTTATGATCACTGGCGCTCCTGTTATTATCTGATTTTCAAAGTGCTTAAGATTTTCCTGGGTCTTATATACCACATTTAGCCACCAGCAGGGCAGGAAGAGTCATCCACATACTATGTATGGAAGGTAAGTAATCCATAATAAGTACCGCATTTAAATTACAAAGCTCCATCCTGTGTGTGTGACAATGCTTGGCCACTCTGCTTCAGGTCGCCTTCCCTCCCATCTCAGGTCTTGGGGCAAGATGAGACAAAGTGAGGGGGCAGAGGTGGTTGTTACCTAGCACTTCCCACCTCTGCTCATAGCACCCAGCACGTGGTGGCCCTCTGTTCTTCCTCATGTTGCTCTGTGCTGCTGCCTGCCTGACTTACCAAAACCATGCAGGGAGCTAACATGGCACTATACTCTTCACTCGCTCCCCGAGCAGACCCTGGTGAAGGTCAGTCATATACCATCCCAATCAGTGCCATTAAAGAGGGAGCTTATGGTTAGACTATATAAGCCTGTTGAGGAGCAAAGTTTTTACCAAATTTCTACCAATTTTTTTCCAATTTTTTCTATCAAGTTTCTACCAAATACTTCAATACACCTGAAAGATTGGCCAAAAACGGCAAACAAAAAGGTGAGCAGCCCTTACCTGGAACTGACACGCACATTTCAAGCCGTCGCCCTCTTCCTTGCACACTCCTCCGTATTTACATGACGATTCATCACACACTCTTACATCAGATTCCCTTACATTTAACTCTGCAATAAAAAAAATAGAAAAAGGAGACAGAAAAGAAATTGTAAGATCAGTAATTATGGGACTTCCTTGTCCTCAAACCCACTGAGCCCCACCACTGCCTTACCCCATTCAGAAATTAAAGGAAAAATGCCAAAGCTGGCCTTGCCCACATTGCTATCCTTCAGACTAACAATAAACCAAAGTATGTTAAAACTGTTATAATTTGCTTGCACTGTAGGAGCCAGACTAATGAACCAGAGTCCTCTGCTTTAGCTGCTGCATAAAAACATGGAGCACAAATGCAGCTCCTGCCTCAGTAAGCATACAGCAGAGGTACAGATGGCAAGATGGAAACCAAGGGCTCTACACAGCTCCAGCACAAAGGTTGCTTACATGGCTTTAAGCTCTTTTGGCCATCACAGCCAAGGGCAGTTTTAAAGCAGGATAAGGACATTCTTTTGAAATAACTATTTGATTTGAAATATATATAGGAGAGAGAGACCAAAAGAAGGCACTGCTGGGATAATGGAAGCTATCAGTGTTAGCCTAAACGTGACCTTGGCAGGCTGTGTGGGAACAGTGCTGTTACTATCGATTGCAATAAAAAGGTGAAAATCACACCAAGGGCTCTAGAAAAATCCCCTGCCGTTGTTTAAGGCTCCACTGATATCAGAGGACATCATTCAAAGCTGTCTGCGCTTCGGCTCCAGTCAGAAACCTCCAAGACTCTATGGCAATATGACCCACTAAAGAGATTCATTGACAGTGGTGTGATTTAAAATAATGTCTGTGACTTTAAATAAACAAGCCCTATGCAGAAAACTGGCTTAAAGGAAGCACTGAATACCAACCATTCAGAAACGGGGAAAGGTAGGTCAAAGGCAGAAGAAAATAATGATCACTGCCACTTACAGTCTTAAATAGTCAGTCACCCTCCTGCACACAGCAGTGCCAGCACTTGGGTATGTCAGTGACAGACACCCTGGAAAACTCTTCGTGTGGGTTTATGTAACATTATATACCCACAACCATCGTTTATATAAATAAGTATATAATTATATAATTATTTCTGCAATAAATTCTTCTAGGTGTCATATGCTTCTATATTTAATATAGTGTGGTTACTCTTTTTTTGATAGCACTGAAGTTACAGGATTAAAGCACTAAAGTTACAGGATTAATCCACATATTTTGTCAACTGTGAGAAAAAATGAAGAAAATACTGATTTTCTTCTTTCCCCCATACATTTATCATTCCTGAAGGCATAAATGAGGAGGGTAATCTGTGTAACACCACGCAGTTAGGTACCCTGGTTGCCATCACAACCCTGTGCACGTGTTCTCTAATGTTATTCTTAATGTCGCCATTTATCAAGCGTGACTGCTGCTTTGTAGTGACCAAGTTAATGTGACAGAACATCACTGCTTTTCAATTTCGTGTGTTCATAACTTGCTCCTGAAGGAAATGTGCCTTTCTTTCTTCTCGCGAAGAACTGTTCCATGAAAATGAACAAACTCTCAAGATTAATTAAGGAAAAAATGATTGTCATAGCTGAAAGGGGGATCCACCTTTAGGTGATAATGCATCTGAGAAAAAGCAATTTATGAAAGGGAGTAACCAGACAAGACAAATTACAGTGTGAATAGCTTTCAAAATTCTGTTTTCTTCAGCTCAGGAAACTAAAGCGATGAAGGTCCCAGCAGAGCTCACTGCACTCAGCATCCTACCCTACCTCACCCCCAGCCAGCAGAAGAAACCCCCTGGCAGCCGCAACTGATGCTTGAAATCCTGATGGTCCACACAATGTCCAGCTGCCCAAGCGGTGTTACACAGACTTCCCCCAACCTCTGTGTCCCCCAGTTTGAAGAGGACCATCCCGGAAGGAGCCTCTTCACCAGAACAAGGGACCTTACTTTTCTGCATGGGAGGGGAAGGATGCAGGGGAAAGTCAGAAATGAAGCCCAGTTAGCAGTTCAGCATCAAGGCTGAACCAGAGATGTGCTTGTTCTTAACTTACCTACTGTTCTGACTGCAAAAGCCAGTAGGAAAGGGAAACATTTCAGAGCAAAACTGTAACAGGAGATATGAAGGTAGGTGTGGGGAATCAGACTTTGTGATCCCTCTTGCCTCAAGAAAACAAAACTTCGTTTAAAAGAAAAGAAATGCACAAGAGGAATTAAGATGACAGAAAGCACACCACTTTAATGGCTACTCAGTTTTAGGAGTGGATTGTTTTTCTTGGCACATAAATGATAAATACTGATTATAAGCTTTTTTGCATGAGATGAATGCTAAGCAGGGAAAGATCATTCAGAAAGCAGAAGCCAACGTGATTTTCAAAGCTGTACAAAAGACAAGATACCCTGGTGACTGGCACTTGAACGCGACTGATGAACTTTATTCTATGACAGGATGTCACCTAATCCCCACTTCTATTCAGTAGCAAATTTCAGCAGCTGTGAAACCAAGCCCCTGACATGCACATGATTACATTGATGGAATCACAAGTACCAGGGGGTGTGGTGGCCATAATGACTTCCACATCTATGGCATTTGGTTCAAAAATGAATAGATGAAGATGGATGATAATAGAGAGATGTGGAGAGGAACCATGAAGACAGCATGTCTGCAAGATGCTCTCTCTTCAGTGGATTCCCCATAGAGAGAGAATTATTTCTGCAATTATTTCCAGAAGAACGGAATCATTATCATCACACGTGAGAACAGACCTATGAAAGGAGTAAGAACATGTAGCAAGTGATTTAGGGTAATTTCTTACATGTTTCTTTAATGCCTATCACAACTCACTTCCCAGACTTTCAGCAGGTATGAGTAAGAGAAAGCCTCAGTGCGATTCATTACCTACAGCGAGAAAATGGTAAGTAGTAATCCATCAAATCCCAGGAGAAAATATAATTAGTGCAATTAAATCAGGCTTCCAAATTTATGATAAAATTAATCTCCTAAGACCTGAAATGAGGTATTAAAAATGATTTGCTACTATCTGTTCAGCCAATACACTTCCTGGGGGTGTGAGGGCTGACCAGCACAGAGCACCTTGCAGGAATCTGGCTGCAAAGAAAGACTCACATCAAGGTCTTTTGGAATTCTTTTTTCCTCTTTTGACATTAATTCACCTTCTGATCATTTGATTCATCACTAAAAATGTGAAAAACTTTCTCCGTTTTAAATCCTTTCAGAGACTTTGAAGTACAGCTCAATACAAGTAGCTGGAGATTGGCTTTTTGCCTGTGACCTGAAAATGCATTGCTCTGAGGCATGAACCTCTCGTTACAAGCTAAATTACATGTGTCTAAATGCTGAACCTGAAAATGAAATCAAATTTGTAGGTTTAAGTACATCAAACGTGTTGCTTCCATCTGGATACCTGGAGAATAAAATAAAATCTAAGATGGGCAAACCTGGTAACTCTGTAAGCAATTATTTTTTTTCAAAATTGATGTTTTTCCTGGGTTTGGCAATAGCACATAGTAATGATGGATGGATATAAGGAATCAAAAACTACCTTTCCCATGTGGAATTGAGTGGGTAGGTTTAGTAGCAGTGCTGCCAGCTTTTCCCCTCTTGAATATTTCATCTGTGTCTGGGAAAACACTCTGCCTGCCTGCCTGTTTCCTGTGGGTAGGACCACAACCAGGGAAGATGCAGCACCCCTCACCAGCTTTTCCTCTTGAAAAAGTGTGAGGCACCTCACTGCTGCTTTTCTGTCCTCCAAACACTTTGGGTTTTGTGAATTCAAGCTTCAAACTGGGAGGTATAACCTCTCATGGAGGTCACATACAGACACACATACAGACCTGGGAAAGTTCATAAAGGGTCTGTACTCTAGAGGCTAAAAGTACTCCCAGAATTGTAAGAACAACTGAAGTGGGTCAACACTGGCTTCGGAAAGGGCTCAGAAGAGAAATTATGTTATGTGAGGGTATGTTAGAGCCCACAGAATATACTGGAAATAGTGGCATTATGACTAGGTGAGTTCTCAGGACCACAGAAGAGAGTAAAAATCTAATGAGGAGAAAACCATTAACCTACATGATTCTGGGAATCAGCCTTATGACTCTGGACTGGCTTTGGTGAATCACTGGCTTTTCTGGTTTTGGCAAATTACTAAGGAACATAATGAGGAAAAAAAAACTTTAATAAAAATTGTTCCCTTGGGGATTATAAAGCTGAGGTGCTCACATGACAAGCACAGTAATAACTCTGCCTTAAACTAACTCTTGAATAAAACATCACTTGTCAGTCACACCCTTTGCCCCACATCAAAGATGATGATACTCAGAGACTGCAGGATGATAGCCAGCCTGTCACCCAGCTGTTCCAAAGTACAGCCTGCCCACTTGAAACATAAAGGTGAGCTGAGTGGCCTCACAGCTGAAGAAAATCACTGCTTCAAAGATTCTCCCTAGGGGCACCTTGGATGCCCCTGGGATAAATGGACATGGAACTGTTGGAACAAGTCCAGAGGAGAGCCATGAGGATGATCAAGAGACTGGAGCACCTCCCGTATGAAGATAGGCTGAGGAAGTTGGGTCTGTTCAGCCTGGAGAAGAGAAGGCTGCGTGGAGACCTCATAGCAGCCTTCCAGTATCTGAAGGGGGGGTATAGGGATGCTGGGGAGGGACTCTTCTTTAGGGACTGTAGTGATAGGACAAGGGGTAACGGGTTAAAACTTAAACAGGGGAAGTTCAGATTGGATATAAGGAAAAAGTTCTTTACTGTAAGGGTGGTGAGGCAGTGGAATGGGTTGCCCATGGAAGCTGTGAATGCTCCATCCCTGGCAGTGTTCAAGGCCATGTTGGACAGAGCCTTGGGTGACATGGTTTAGTGTGAGGCGTCCCTGCCCATGGCAGGGGGTTGGAACTAGATGATCTTAAGGTCCTTTCCAACCTTAACTATTCTATGATTGTACAATTCTAAATCTGCTAACCTCCAGGTCCCAGCTCAGAACAAAACAGCACAGCTCTCCTGGTGACTTTACCAAGTCCCATGCAGATA